CCCAGGCGGGTTGCTGAGTCGCCTGTGTGCCTGTGAATGGCCGGGTGCGCTTTTAGACACACTCGCCCGTCGCTTACTGATACCCCCATCCGCCCTATCGCCACCCCCCATCCCTGTCTGTGCATACGCTTGCTGTTGCTGCGTCTGTTGCTGATTCTGAATTCCTGTAGCCCACTGTTGGTGTTGCTGTTGCTGTTGCTGTTGGTGTATGTGTTGGTGTTGGTGTTGGGGTTGGGGTTGGGGTTGGGGTGTGTATTGGTGGTGGTTAGTCCCTCGCTTCTGCGTGGTTGATCCATAGGTGGTCTGTCGTTGCTGGTTGTCCATGTACTGTTGTTTGTATCTGTTCGTATCGCCTCCAAGTGACATGGCCCTTGCAGTAGCGTGCACGGTGCTCGACTGTCCTGTGGTGCTGTGTGCAGAGCCTGCGCCCGGACTGGTCAGCGCTGACAGTTGTACTTGCTTGCGATGGGGTTGTGTGCTCTGAAGGCGAAGAAGATGCAAACCATGGAGATGGAATGGAAAGATAAGCGGATTGATATTGTGCATAGTGATGTGCTGTGGCTTAGTTAATAGACGGTTGCGATTGCTTGCCATGTGGTTGTGTGCTCTTAAGGGGAGGAAGATGTAAATAAATATATATATACATATATATATATATATATATATATATAAACATACTGTAACCCATACACACACAGCCCACTACACTACCAGTGCACGTGTATTGCATAACCTACCGCGTTGTCCCTCGCAGACGATCCGTCGTTTGTCATTGCGATAGTGGCCCGCTGTACAGAGTGAAAGATAACGAGACCCGTGCACATACAGAAAGCGTTTAGTATGGCGATAGAACGTTTAATACATAGAGAAGACGAGAGGATACTCTACCTGTACATGGGCTGCAGCACTCATATGTACATGGAATGGAGTGGGAGACCAGAGAGACTAAGGCGTGCAGTAGATGAAGCCCCGCAGAGAACCAATCAAAGCTCAGATATACCAACCGCAACAGACCAGAGCCAATGCCGGTTGAGATATAGAAATTGCAACATAAAGAGAACTAATCAAAGCTCAGATATACCAACCGCAACAGACTACAGACTAGAACTACTACCAGCTGACATATCTGTGACCGAACTTCGAACCCCCTAAACCCTAAAACCCTAAAACTTCGTTTCTGCATAGAAACGCCTGAGCCTGCTACACAAAACTCACAAGGACAGCACCTGCGCCACACGATACTGAACCCTAACCCTAAAACCCTAGAACCCTGAAATTCTGAACACTACAACTCTTTTGAAGAATAGGTACGAGTACATACCAGATTGAGTGGGTGTATTTATAGAACACATAATACATCAGGGCCGTTAGAACCAGAATAGAAGAGTATACTGGCAGATACATACAACACATTTGCGCACAGCAATAGGTCACACATCACACTAACATCTACACAAACGGTGTACACGTATAGCTGTAACTTACATATCACACTTACAGCTAGGTTAATGGTGTACACATATAGCTATAAGTAACACATCACACATACAGCTATACTGATGGTGTACACTTACAGCTGCAACTAACACATCACACTTACAGCTATACTGATGGTGTACACATACACCTACAACTAACACATCACACTTACATCTACAACTAACACATCACACTTACACTTATAGCTAACACATCACACTTACAGCTATACTGATGGTGTACACTTACACCTTCAACTAACACATCACACTTACACTTTCAACTAACACATCACACTTACAGCTATACTGATGGTTAGCCTGATTTTGCCCTCCAAGCCCCGTGTGCCGTAGAGCGGGAGGATTTTACTCATGGACCCCTTTTTATACACCTCTGGGATGTGTAGTTCGCCTGAGCCGATAACGGATTCCACTAACAGGCCTAGATCACGTACGTCAACAATGATCTTCTCAGGGAAGACATCCTCTCCTAGGGGACTGTCGGGGTTGGTATGTGAGTGTACGTGCATGAGGTATGGGTTGGATGTATGGGAATGAGTTGAAGGGAATGGATGGATGAATTGGATGTGCATATTCGTACAGATGCAGTGGTAGAAGAAGTAGCTAGATACAGTTGTTGTGGGTACTCCGTGGACCTCAGACGGCCGCATGAGGTATGTGTATGGACAGATGGTACGAGGCACCT